ACCACAAGCACTAAAAGCTGCCGCCTGCCAGAGCTGCTTTGCTTGGGAACCAGTACTTCCCAAAAACTGCTGCCTTGGCTGGGAAAAATCACTTCAGGTCCAGAGTGTTTTCCTGATAACAGAAACTGCAAACAAGTCATTCCCCAGCATAGCAGAATGGCCATTGTGGGAACTGCAAACTTAGGGGAGATCATTCTCTTTCATGTGTCAAAAAAACCCCAAATCACTCCTTCCCTAGCCAGCTGTGGAAATTTAAGCTAAGGGTTTTCAAAAATTAGTAGTAATTATGGATGTCTGAGCAAGATGTCTTTAAAGGGTCTTTATTTCCAGGACACATGTGCTTCTTGCTTTCAAGGGGTCAGCCTCACATCAGACAGCCCCACAGAGACCCCAAATAGCCTCTGAAAAGATCTCAGCAGTCCCAAAGAATGAACATCAAAGTCTGAACAATTCAGTAAGCACAAAAACCTCACAGCACTCAACCTGCTGTGGTCATCCCATCCCAGCTGTGTTTCATCAACCTGTTTCCCCTGCTCCCCTTCATAAATCTTATTATGGTCACTCAGAGCTTCCAAGGGCACCTAGCAAGCAGGGTTTTGGTGTCAGAAGGCTCCATACATCTCCCCTTCTCCTGAGCCTCCCAACAACTGCTGTCTGAGACATCCTTGCAAAGCATGGGCTGATCCTTTTAGGAGAAAGCTGCCCAAAGGGTGACTCAGGGGGACCCACCAGCTTTTGGAAAACCCTGCTGTAAAGCAGAAAGCCTACATAAAGCATGCACGACTTAAGCCTTGTCTTGGCTGGCTCAATCCATACACTGAATATATTCAACTAAGCATAACACCAGCCCAGTTTTGCATTCAGATGCACCTCCTTGTTTGCACTTGCCCCCCATGCACAGAAGACCCCCTCTAAAGAGCTTCTAAGGTAGCTTTGCAAAACCAACACATCAAAGCCCATTGCTGTTGCCTCAGCTCTCCCTTTGCCCTTGTCCCAGCTCTTGCAACATGACAAGGCATGGGCTCCCCAGGGCAGCTCTGTGTTTGTGCAGCTCTTGTTTATGGCTGGGACCACAGCTAATCAAACAAGCGAGTGCCCACTCACTGCTCTGGAAGTGGGAGCCTGGCGTGGTTGTCAAACAAGTGCATTCTGAATAACCCAGGCCCTACCCCAGCTTTCACAATAGGAATTAGTCACAGTGCTCCAATGAGAGCAGCAAATCCAGCAACAGGAGATAAAGTTACAGCAGAGAACTCACTTGTCCTCTCTTGTGTACCTAAGACACCCCTTTCCTTTGGATCCCGCCTTTCCAGACCCCTTAGAGGTGCAGGGACCCTCTGCTCCTGAGCAAGGTGTTTTGGACTTTGCTTTAGGTAAACTCTCTCATGAAGTCAGAGCACAGCAATATCCAGACCCTAACAGCAACCAGTGGATGTCCAGAGGAGGCCACCAAATTGATTAAAGGGATGGAGCACCTCACCTATGAGGAAGGGTGAAGAGAATTTGATTTGCTCAACCTGGAGAAAGAGAAGGCTTCACGGTGACCTAATTGTGCCTTCCAGTACTTTCTACAAGAAAGATGGAGAGGAACTTTATACAAGATACATAGTGACAGGACAAAGTGAAATAGCTTCAAACTGAAAGAGAATAAATTTAGATTAGGTACTAGGGAGAAATTCTTCCTAGTGAGGGTGGTGAGGCACTCAAACAGGTTGTCCAGAGAAGATGTAGATGCCCCATCCCTGGACATGCTCAAGGCCAGCCAGGTTGTGGATGGAGCTCTGAGCAACCTGGTCTAGTAGAAAATGTCCCTGCTCACAGCAGAGGGTCTGGAACTAGATGATCTTTATGATCTCTTCCAACTCAGGTACTCTCCTTAGATTCTATGGCTTTACGATCCCCAGGCTTTGATGAGAAATGGCAAGGTGACTTTGTCCATGTGCATTGCCCAGAAGAGTCTGAGTTTAGCAGACGATAAAACATGACCAAAAGATTTGCAGTCTTTGACCATATGAACAAGGTCTTCAGAACAGCTCAAAGGTGCCTTTAAATATTTGGATACTGAGAGATTTAAAGCAATGCAGAGTTATCCTTACCCTGAAAGTAGAGGCATGAGCCTGAGGATCAACTGCAGCTTTGGCAACAAGAGTACTGCAAGCAAATCTGAGGTAATTTGTTATCTGGGTAACTTCTGCTGACACAGGTGTATCCCTTCCAATTGATGTAACCTGGGCTAGCAGTGGTCAATATGGTGAGTCTTGGGTGAATTCACAACAAGGTCTTTGCTGAGGTACCCGTGGTTGTCAGCAAAACTGGGCTCACATCTGGCTGCTGGGCACAGTGGCACCACCTCATGAAACACCAGCAGGTTAGGACTTGTACAAGGGTTTGCTTACCAGTTTCACTTATGATCACTTTATTGGGACCAGCAGAAGATTTGCCTGGACATTTTCTGTTCTTTTGCTGCACAGTGCAAATGGAAGGTGGAGGAGCACTTATATGCCTTTTTATAGGCAAGGAGGAAAAAGTAGAAACACAATACCTAACAGAGTAAAAGAAGCAGGTAAAAGCAGAGCTGGGCTGGGGAGGATAGGGCACAGGGGATTACAGCATTGTTCAGCTGAAAATGCAGAGGCCACCATCTCATAAATATTTACAGGCAGGGAATAAACCACTTAGGGACCACATCCCATGACAGCCCCAAAGAAGGGGGAGCAGGACCTTCAAGCCTGCCTGGTGAAGGTGGCTGGAGGAGCTCTGCTGCCCTGGAAGCTAATGCAGGCTCTGGCACATGCCTGTGCCCTGGGGAAAAGCAGATGTATGCAATGGGGAGAATGTTACAGCATCTGCAGCATACAGCAGGGGAAAAAGCAGAGGCAGGATGGGGCATGGAGGCAACAGGCAGAGCTCTAGCACAAGCAACTAGTGCACCAACTCCAGTGGTGTCCAACAGCTGTGTTGGCAAATTTACGTGATTCAAATGTGAAACTGCATGTTCAGAGTGAAGGCAAATGGACACAAAAAGCAGGAACAATCCAACTACTGAGGAAAGTTACAACCATCGCTGAAGGCAGGTTGGGCAATTCCAACATCTAGAGGATGATAAAGCAGAACAAATAGAAGATTAAGAATTAATCCCTAATTAGCTGCTTCTGAAACCTGTTGAAATCACTGCCTGCACCGTTTGCTAATGGACTTGTCAGCAAGTTCTGAGGCTGCAGGGGTCACAGCAGCAGTAGAATGTGCTGCTTTGTTCTCAGGTGAGAGGTTTGTTTTGCCCGTTAAGAGCTTTTGATGTTTTCAGTTTAGGTGTACTCAGAAAGCTCTTTCCAGGCAACAAAGGGCAATGGATTCCACATGCAGCCTCCCTCAGCCACCAGCACCCAGGAGAGAAAAATGATCCTTGTAATTTAAATACACCAGACGTATCCCAAAACCAGGGGTGCTGTACACGTATTCTTACCCCATAGGACACACAGTGCCTCCAACACCCATCAAAGGGCACTAAGCAAACAGCACCAGCCCAGAGCTCCATCTCTGCCACAGCCCACTTTAAAATGATTCAGAGAAAACATCTGAAAAACAAGTTGTGAATTTCCTCAGCAAAGCCCTGGGCTCACTACCAACAGCTGGAAAGGCCAGATCTTGAAGCAACACACCTAACATCCCATCTGAAATGCTCCTCAGCAAACAACAACTGCCTAGTCATCAGGCTGCCTAAATATTCACTTACCTTTCCAGGCTTGATCTACTTCTGATTTCTGCAAAATCTGCTGTCATGAAGTCTGCTTTGTTTGCTCTGCATCTGATTCATTCGCGTGTTGTTGTTGGAGTATGTGTTCTGCCTCCACCAGAAAAGGGTATGGGACAGGTGCATTTGCTCCAACTTATTTTCTTCTCTTCCCTTACCAGGAGTCCTCACACTCATTCCACATGGGAGAAATAACTCAAGATCCCTGCTCTGAGTAGGGTCACCTGAAGCAGGTTACCAAGGACTACGTCCAGCTGGGTTCTGAGTATAAAGTACCAAGGCTCCACCACCTCCCTGGGAAACCTGTGCCATTGTTTAACCATACTCATGGTAAGAAGAAAGCATTTTAAGCAGAACTTTCTGCATTTCAATTTACCCCTCTCACCCATCATCTGGCATCAATCCATCTTCTTTACTCCCTCACCAGGTATTAAAACACATTGGCAATAGCCCCTTGAGCCTTCTCCAGGCTGAATTAGCCTGGCTCTTGCACTCTCTCCCCTACATGACAGTCTTCAATTCTTTTATTGTCTTTGTTGCCTTTCATTGAACCTGCTCCAGTATCCATGTCTCCTTTTTACCGGGAAAACCAGCACTGAAAACAGCATGCCAAATCTGCCTCACTGGGGCTCAGCAGAAGGGAATAACCTGGTCATTCTTGTAACTTTTTTTTTGGTTTTGCTAACCTTACAGTAGCAGCATCTCATACAAATTCCCTACCAAACCAGGAAACTGCCTTTCCATTGCACACCTTACCTATATTTTTCAGACCTTGACATTTTCATGTGAACACAGCTACACTGAACACAATTCCTACAATGAACAAGAAACAGGAATATTTTCAAAAACTTTATCCCATCTTTATGTTTTCTTCAAAATAAAAACACATTTGTATTCTTGAAAACAATAACAGATGCCATTGCTTTTCTGAACCATATATATAAAGATAAATAAGAGTAAAATACAGTTCTGCAATTAGAAAGCTAAAAGGCTCTTCTAGGACTGATTGATAGAAAGGAACAGACCCAGAGGAAACACACTGCTTCAAGAGAGGCCACTCTGACACCTCTCAGTGGTTTCAGATAGTCCATTTCTCTGTATGAGCTTCCACACTTCTGACCAGGCCTTCTCCCAAAATCTCAAAGTCCTCCAGAATTGCCTCCACATTGGGAATGCAGACCAGCTCGTTGTTCAGAGTTGTCACCTTCCTTCCTTTCATGCTGGAGGCCTGCAGGACACAGAAAATATTGCACAAATGGGAGCACCTGCTCAGAGTTGCATTGCAACCTCTGTCAGCCCCAAGCAAGAGAAGTGCCTCTCCTGCCTTGTCACATCCAAACCCTGCTTCACCACTGCACCCAGTTCTACAAGTTTCACTTCTCAACAATATCAGTGCTCATTTTTAGAGCTAACAAAGTGCAAAAGTGACCTTTCAAGCCCCTTTTAAGGTTTACCCTGGAGTCACAGTCCAAAGACTGAAAGGAATTCAGGAAGCAAATTAATGGCCAGAGGTACGGTAGAATGACAAGTGTGCAGATGCACAGCAGAGCCTGGTAAGCAGAGCACAAGGAGTATGCAAAAGGGATCACAGCACAAGGCTGAGTAAGAGCTGCTTCTGCTCTGCTCTTTGGTGGGTGTAAAGACCTTGGTTCCAACAGTGGCAAAAACAAAACCCTTGTGTTTAATCCAGCCAGACTCAGCTCCGATGCAAGCATCTCCTCCTCTGTTTCACCACTGTGAATAACTGGGTTTCACAACAGCAGCCAGGCAGAATGGCCAATGCCTTCTGGCCATGAAGAGAGGGGAGATAAATCACCCAGAGACTGACAGCAGAAGAGCCTGGGCTGCCAGCTCCAAGCCATGAGTAACCGGTTTCTTTGCGTCTTTCCTTCATAGAAAGCAGCATGAATCACTCCAGCGTGCCTCACACCTGGTTTAACCACCCTCTAGGGCTTGCCAGCCCACACAGTGCAGCTGGAAAACAGCTCCATACATCAATGAGGACATGGGCACTCTGGACCTGGGCTTCTTGTGGGTTGGGTATTTCTGGTAAGATCCCAAAGCCACAAGAATGGGATAGTCTACTTCCCTTCTCAGTTCTGCTGATGACTGGAGGCATTGTGGCCGCAGCCCTGTCTTGGTTCCTCCCCTTCTAAGAAGCAGCAGAACTCTGATCTCCACTTTTCAAATGGTTTTGGGGCTGATGAGAGCTGGACAAAGCAATCACCATGCAGGGGAAAAAAAAAAAAAAAGCCCTTCAAACTTTCAGGGTATATAGGTAACATGAAGCTTAAAGCAGAGACAAAAACTCACCTTAAAAGGCAGAGGCTTAAAACTCAAAGGTTTCCACAAAACTGCAATCACTTCTCCACCATGCTTGTCATAGAAGAACAAGGCAAGATCATCAAAGGCATCCTGGGTAGAAAACAAACACAGGTTAAGCACAGTGACCCCTCAGTGACAATCCACTGAGTGCTCCTCACTGTGGACCTCCATCAGCTGACCTGGCACTACCAGGTTGTACTTTCCCAGTGTCCAGCAACCACATCCAAAATTTCACAGTGCAAGAAACAGAAAAAGCCAGGCCCTACCTGCAGGCAGTCCTGCCACAGTACATTTCATGGCACCAAAGACAAACCTTAAAACAGAGGCCAGCATCTCAAACTCTGCCATCTGTGCAACCAAAGTATCAAAGCTCCTTCTTCCACCAAGACAAACCCCGCATGAGCTGTCAACACTTTATCCATAAAAGCACACATAAGAGCAGAGGTTTTTAAGTAACACAATGTTCTGTGGGGTGCAAAGAGGTGGAAAGGTCAAAGGAAGCACTGCAGGAATCTGTCCTCCTTGCCCCTTCTGTTTCAGCAGTGGTTTCAGTGAGCATCTCCTTTAGTGGTGCTGGGCAGCAGAGATCAAAGAGAGATGTTGCACAAAGGGATGACTAAAGCCCAGCCTGGCTTCCCCCAAGCCCACACGAGCTGGATTCCCAGGGCTGCAAGGAGCATCACAGCAGAAGGAAACAATGCTGTGTGCAAGCAACTTCCCAAACCCAGAAGTCTGGACTTACAGCTCATCACCCAACATGTTGAGATCAAGAGGTGTACCCTGAAAGAAGCTGACAGCCAAAGGAGTTGCTCACTGATACATGTTTATCTCGGTGGAGATCAACATCAAGCAACAAGACATATTTACAAGGCTGAGCAAACAGTCCGTACCATGAGTACAGGAAAAGCTTCTGCACAGGGTTTCACCAGCCTTAGAACAAACTATTGCCCAGAATACAGAGCCTCTGTTCCCTCTTCAGCCCTCTTTCTCCATCACCTTAGCTTCCCAGCTTCTACACCAAGAGAGGTCTCAGCTGGCATCATTGTATCATGAGGTTTTCATGAGGATGTGCATGAAAAGACAATCATCATTTTGATGGACAAAGACAAGTTTTGATGAGCTCTTGTACAGACATACCAGGATTGCAGTAGGGAAAAAAGGTGGACTGGGTTGGTGTTACCAGTGATCCTTGATAAGCAAGGAGGGGTGGTGGTGTCTGCAATCTTCAGAGACAGATTTGAGTTTGGACTGTTGATGCCCTCACAGAGGGCAACAAAATTAGGTCATCAAGATGGAAAGATCCCAAGAACTGCCAACTCATCCCACTCTATGGGCTTGCACAGGGGCAAGCCTGGTCAAGGCATTATTTCACTAACTGGCTAGAAACACCACTGTCTAAAAATACATTCAGAAAGAGACAATTCACCCTGGCATTTCTATGCTGGGAGCAATGGGCTGTGCTCAGAGCCCAGTCAACAGGGAAGACTCCTCCTTTATCCAAAGAGAAAAGAGCAGGAAGGAGGGGAAGCTGAAGGAACAGCAATAAAGCCCAGGGCACGCTGACCGCCAACGTGCAGCTTTCTGAACCAAAGGGGAGCAGAGCATGTGAGAACCTGAAAAAGCCCAGCTACTCTGCAGGGCGAGGTCTTCAGCACCATGCAATGCTCCTTATGAGAACACTTTTTTTTACAGATGCATCTTGCTGGGCAGAAGCCAGGAGCATTTGCAGTAAAAAAAAACCCTCCTAGGCTCAGCTAATTTCCCAATAAAACCACTGTTTGGCCTGACACCCAGGACTTTTTTTTTCCCCCCCAGACAGCAGGAAGTAGAGGGCAGATGTTAAAAGGATGGCATTCATTCCAAAATCCTAGCATTTGTCCTGCTCCCAGCATCATCCATGTGATAGTGCTTCAAAGTGACCTACCAAGCTGTGGAGTTCTTGGGAAACTGCAGCATTAAAAAGGTCAGGTGTATTAGTCACTGCACTCCTGTTTGTTCAGAGGCTTGGGGAGTAAAAGCAAACAGTTCAACCTCCTTTCCACATCCCATGATCTCTTCCCTGTGTCACTGGACTTGTCTGAGCCTGCAAACACCTTCTTCCAGGAAAAAGTTTCAGAGAAAAGGGAGAAAAGGCAGGGACTACATTTGTTCCCTCATTGTCCAGGGAGAAGGTGTACATGGCACCTGGCAAAAGATTATAACAAGTTCTGTAAAAAAACATCTGGGTTATCAGGAATGGAAAGGGTGGAGAAATGGAGTGTACCATTTCTAAATATAATGATACACTCTAATACCTGTATCTAAAACAGGATTACCAGATTAAGCAGCTCCATATGAAACCAGGATTTTGCAAAGACCTCAGTGTAATTTAGTTAAGTATCCGCTAGGTATCTATATTGTTAAGTATCTACTTGTTGATAGTTAAGTATCTATTATTTAAGTATCTACATTGTTGTTTAGCGATAAGGTTTTTTCCATTTGACCCTTTTTCCACCCATTTTTTTTCATTGCTCCTACCAAGAGATTAGGCTCATTGCATCACAGATGCTGGAAGAGCCTTTTAGGGAGGTCTCTGCACACAGAAATGTGTCCTACAGTAGAATTTCCTGGTTCTACAGCAGCTCAGAAGGCAAATGCATCAATAAACACTTGCTCAGTGTTCAGAGCATTTTAAGTGCTGTTACCAAGGAACCCATCAGTGTAAAGCCTATTAAAGCTTCCAACAACCTTTGTGGTTAACATTTTGAGGTCTCTGTCACTGTACTGTGACCTGCCCTGATGCTCTCAGTTATGTGACACAGAGAGAGCCTCCCACACAGCCCAACACAGCAAGCAGCACCATCCAAAAAACCCCAGGCTGGGGCTACCTCCGTGACTTTCTTTCAAAAGACAAAGGAAACCATTAGGTTTGGGATTCAGCTGATGAAAGGCTTCAAACTGATTTCAAACTAAGCAAACTTTTCCACCTGAGAGCCACACACACGTCCTTGTCCTGGGGGTTTGGGGCAGCAGGAAAGAAATGTGTAAAGGAAAGAAGCAGCCATGTCCTCCTGGCTGCCTGAGCAAACACATCAATCCACCAAGACTGAGACAAAAGTCTTCTGTCACGTCCTGCACAACAAACCCCACACAGCCTCTGTGAGGGCATCACCAACATAGAAGAAATGGAGCCACAAGTCACAGGACACATGGGGCTGATGCCCCTCTGAGCAGGTGGGTACACACACATGTGCATGTACCCTCTCCTAGCCCTGGGCACCATGCTAAGGTTCTTGTGGCAGCTCTGCAGCCCTGAAAGCAGGTGACTGATTTCCTGACACCTCTGCCCTTCCAAGGGCACAGATACAGACAGGAAGTTTCTTGCCTGAGAGCCCACAAGATTTTTTTCAGCTTTTCCTTGTCTACTTGATGCCACCATAGGAAGAGTCAGCCCTGTCAGTCAAAACAGGAAGGGAGCAGACTGACCTGGAACGATTTCACCAATTCCAGCTACATCACATAATCATGGCTTACATATTTTAGGAGACATAGAATTTTTATTGTCATTAATTCTTTTCTAACATGAGCAAGAGACACATTTTTACACCATGGGAGGTAGAAAGGATAGGGTTGCAAGTCTTCCTGATAGGTCTTGAGGTGCAAGAAATGCAAAATATTACTTTAGTAATGTTTATAGTAAAGCAGGAAACATTTTCCTGCTCATCCACACAGAAAAGATCTCACAAGATGGACAGCTCCTCTGCCACAAGCTCTTTCTCATGTGCAGCCCAAGAAACCTAAATCTCAGTGAATGACAGCACATCCCATCAGTGACTTGGAGACCAAAGACCCAGTAAGAAATGTGAAGCCTGTTAACAGCCGTAACAGACAGGCAGGTGGACATGGCACAAGCAGCTTCACCCAATTTACCCCACAATGAGTGAACAGCTCAGGGAGGTGACCAGAGCCTTTGGGTTTTGTGAGCTCCAGAATGCAGGCAGATGGGTATGGCAAGCATATCCACAAGCCCTGTGTCCTCTGGATGGTCTCGAGTCCAGAGGATGGCCAAGTCACCCTGGAGCAAAAACTGCACAGATTAAGCCCTTTCACACCACAAACCCAGCAAAGAATGCTGTGGGCATTCTGCAGCTCCACAGCCACCACAACACAGATCAGCAGTCACATTAGAGCCTCAACAGGAACCTCATTTGAGACACTTAAATTTAATTTAGCCTTGCTGGAGAATTCCCACCAGGAGCAAGTCCAGAGTTTGCTCAACAAGGTCCTCTGAAATCCAAGTGGCAGGGAGGCTGTTGATGGGCTGAATTTCCAGGGAAACCCTCTCTGTGGGGTGGCTGGCACCTGCTTTCCCTCAAAAGTGTCTGTCTGCAAAGCTTTCTCTTCTGGACAGGATCACAGAACAGGCCTTCTCTATCAGATCTGTTCTGGAATTGAAGAATTTGCTGCCTGAATCCCACAGCCAGCCTTTCATCTCTACCCAGAGCCTTCCAGGCACCCCGAGCAACTCAGGCCAGATCCTGCAGCACATCTCCTTGAAACAGGAAAAAATTAAGCAGCCAGGACTCAACATCTCCTCTCCTTTCATTTTCTACTCTGATTAAGCTCCCTGGAAGAGGCATACAGCAAACCTAGAGCTCCAGAGCACTACTGCCTTGCTAAACGCTTTGACTTTAGAAGAACAGGGGCAAATAGGCTGGACAGAAGAGTGGATTTCCTGGTTTCTAGTCCAAACTAGGGGAAGAAGCTACTCCCTGCCCCTCTCAATTCAATCAAAACATCAAGGCATTTAAATCCTGGTTTCATGTGGAAATCTCAGTACAGGGAAGATGTTTCTTTTCTGCCCACAAAAGAACACAAAATCCCACAGCATCTGTGTGGCAGATGTCTCTCTTTGTCGCTACAAACCCGCCATGGCTACAGCCCCGTTGCTCAATTCTGTGGTCTGTGCTGTTATGAGAGAGCAAAGTACTCTGAATCAAGTCCAGTGAGTTCTGCATCCAAACTGCCTTCTCATCCAAGATCTCTCATAAGGATTCACTGCTGTCAGCACGCTCCTTTCTGGCACCAGCTTCTTGCAAGGTTTGGATTACCTCCAGGGCACCCAGTCCACAGGACAAGGAGGAACTGAACACTGCTTAGAGCAGCAAGAGCCAGGGAAGGAAAAATAAGGTGCTGGAGAGGCTACCAAGCAAAGCCAAAGTTGATGAAAAAGTCTTGCCTTTAAGCAACAGCATCAATATACTGAGACATGAAGCCAGATGATTTCTAATGGATGGAGTCGTTTCTACTGACAGCTCAGCATCACCAGCTAGCAGTGGTCCTGCAGTGCAAGATCAGCTTTTGAGGCCTTCTAACTTAACTGGATACAGCTAAGCTCTCTGAGACCATGTGCAGCATCACCTCTGCGATTTTTCCAGGAAAAGAAACACCTGTTTGCCTAGAAAAAGAGATATTCATCAGCTCCTTCAGGACTGCCTGCTACTGGTCTGGATGCCAGACTGACAAGCAAACTGTTACTGTAGGATATCTCCAATATGATACAAGAGAACAGAACATATCTAAGAGCCTTAAAGACAAAGTAAAGCCCCACAGACAGAGATGCTGAGGCAGATGTCAGGCTCTCTGCCCCACAGCTCACTCTTCAGAGAAAGCGGAAACCAATTCCTGATCTGTTCCCTCCTAAGAACCCTCAGGTCAAAAACCAAGGGACACCAAGAGAATCAGCACTGCTTCCAACGAGGCAATGTGACCTTTGCTCATATCCATCTTTCTTCATTGGGATGCTAGCATACTGGATTTGGGAGCAGCTGTAATTTGCAACCTGACCAAACCCAATTCCCAGTCTATCATAAACTGTACTAAAAAAAACAGGCAGTGGAAAAAAGAAAACAAAATTCAGGCAATTTGGATGTCACTACTGACTGGACCAAGTAAATCATAATTCCCTGAAGTTTAATGAAAGCTTCTTTCCAGGAAAATTTCTACCTTTCACTTCCAGAGCCACTTACTGACATCAATTTGTAATGCATAAAAAAATCCTAAAAACCCCAAGGAGTTTCCTGATTGACTGCCTCAATCTACAGCCAGACCTGCTGCAAGCATTTAATGGCCTCCCCAAAGAGATAGCTCTCCCAGTCAGCTCATCCAGCATCCTCCAGTTTCTCTTCAAGCAAGAAGTCTTCTTTCTATCAGGTTTCCATGAAGGTTGCTTAGCCCTGACCCCTTCAGAGATACAGAGGCTCTGTCCCCAAGCATCTCCAGTGCACTGGCAGCTGCTGAAAAGCTCTGTTCAGTTCCAGAACCCACTTCCAGCACTGGGTGGAGAAGGATTTCAGACTTAAAAAACTCCATTTGCTACCCAAATCTGTGCATGGTTTCATGGCACAGGTCAAACGTTCATCACTGAGAAACGAGGGGCTGGTCTTGATATGACACCTCAGACACCAGGAAGGAAAGCAAAAGAGCAAATAGTTCCAAATCTGTTTCATACTCCCTTTTAAAACCCTTGTGAAGGATGCTTCTTCCTTTCCTTCTTGCCCCAAGAAATCTCCCAGTGCTTTCTACAACATGCCTGCAGGACCTCCAGGTCCACCTTCCTTCTCAAAGGGAGGAGAGCACTGGGCACCTCCTCTCCCACAAGTCCTTCCAGCTAAGGAAGCAGTGCTTTTAGCAGGGAAACAAGAGGCCTTCCACACATCCCTGTCTGTCACTTCCACACCACCCAAGACTGCCCCAAGCTGCTGTGGCTGACAGGAGGACTAAGCTTGCCCCTAGTGTGGCAGCACTGCTGAAGCCACAGCAGATTCACACGGGCACAAGTCACCATGCACTTGGGGGTAACAGGGATGTTCCCAGGAAGAGGAAACCTTCAAAGAAACCCTTGCAAGTTTTCTTTGTCCAGCTCCTAAGGTACGTAGTTAAGGTGAAAGGGGAGCTTGAACTGAAAGGGCCCAGAATCTTCCAACCTAAACTGGACTTTCAACTCAGGCACCACTGAGTGGGGAACAGGGCCAGAGACCCCCACAGCCAGCCTAGATTCCCATGCTTACAGTTCTGACACCGCTCACAGCACTCCTATCAGTAAGGGACGACGGCTCTTCAATGGCAGCCTTTGACAAGAGGGCACCACAATCTCTCTGCACACCTGACACTAACATTTAACCCAGCTGCCACATCTGAAGCTGCGAAGGGCCAGTGCCAGGTGCTGCACAACAGGCTGTCCAGATGCAGGAAGGATCACTGCTGTCATCTAGGTCCTTGCATATCTCTAACCTGCTTGCAAGGCTTTGGCTTGGCCTCATGGAGGAAAAAATCACAGCCAATGACTTTGGGTACTGATGTTCTCCATATTCCCACATTACCAATTTCCTCTGTTGCTATGCATGTGGCCAGACACAGAGAAACCACTCTGTGACCAATACAGATCTCCTTTGGCTCACACAGCCATTGGCCTAACAGCAGAAAGCTTACTGGGACCACATCGTGGATACCTGTACATGCCCCAAGAAATTGTGTGTGCTTACTGCCAGTCATGCACACCACACAACTGGTGCAAGAAGCCATGAAAAGTGAATTAACTGACTGGAGACAAATGTATTAAAGACACTTTTGTGCTGAATACAAACTTCTTCAGCAAAAGCTCCTGGTGGTTTGCATCTGAGCTCATACTCATGTCACAGCAGCACTCCCATTTCCATGGAGGAGATGGTGCACTCACCAAGACTTCTGCTGGAGAAGCAATGCCCATCCCATGCAAATACCTAAAGACGTAACCAGCTCCATCCTGCAGCAGCGGAATCCAAACACCAGCAGGGAGCTCCCCCTTAGGCAGCCCATCTGCCTCCCCAGCAGGCCAAGCTTACTCTCAGCTCCTGGAGGTACAACTGCACGGGGTCATAATCCACCACAGGAAAGAGGACATTCGTGGCAGAGCTGTTCTTCACCACGCCACGGGAAACTGATTTCACCGGCCGGTCCACGCTCTCCAGGTGCCGAGGAATCTGGTTTGGATTCAGGTGGATCAGGACATCATAAAAGTCCAGAGGAGGGCGGAAGACCATCTGCAGAGAGAAACAAACAGTGCTACTCAGTACAGGACACAAGCAAGCAGGAGAGGTAAGAGGCATTTCCCAAGTCCCTGTTGTCATTTTGTCACCTTCTCCTTAGGAAGCAGTAAACCAAAGAAAAATTTTTGTGAGATTTATGTTAGAAGTTTGCCACAGACCCCAGGAAGCCTACCTAAGTAAATGCTAGTGGGGTGGGCAACTGAGAGAGAGACAAAGAGGTGAGCTGAAATAGAAAACTGTGCTGCACATGGCAGAGTCTCAGGATAAAGAGGAGAGTCAAGAAGCTAACAGGATCTGAGCAACAAGGAGCTGTTTAGTAACAGGATGGCCCCATCTGTCCACCAGGATTTGCCCCAGAGGGCAACAGCATCTTCCATCAAGCAGACAGAGGGTGAGCGCAAAACCCAGTTAATGGAGGGGAGCAGTCCCAGGGACATAAATATTTGGACAGACAGGATCTAGCTGTGGATACAGCTGCATTAAAATGGAAAAAACCCAAAACTATGTGTACATTTTCAAACGGAACAAATGATGCAAAGATGTGAACAGAGGCATGGGACACTGCTCAACTTGGCACTGGAAGAAAACCCACTGCCTGGAACTGGTTTACAGCCAAGCTGGGGAGAATACACATGAAGAACATCAGTGACCACCACTGAGTCAGTCCTATCCCTATCCCACAGACCCCCTGTCCCACTCAGTGACCAAGTCCGTGGCTTCCTGTGTGTGTCCTGGGAGCTGCATCTTCACCACACCAGGCATGTCCCAAATGCAAAGACAATAAAACCAGCTTCCAGCACTCTCTTAGATACAGGAGGCAACTGTAAAGGAGGCAACTCCAAACTAAACTGGAAAGGTTTTTCCCTCCTCCCTGCCCCAAGCTCTGCTCTGCAAAGAGCATCCCATGTTTATCCCTAAGCAACATCATAGGCCTGGGAGGACACTAGCATGGACCAGAGGAATTCCATGGCAATGAGAAACATACCCAATACAATGGAAGGGAGGAAGAAGGCTCATTCCTTCACAGCCCTGTAACACACACTGCTACTGCCTCAAGTACATCCTCACCTCATAATGCTTCCAGTGTAAAATAAAGCAGAATAGAAAGCAGTGTCAGTAAGTCCTTTTTATATTACCTAGGCAGAAAAAAACATTCCACTGTATATGCTGCTTTCTGGTTTTGGTTTTAGTTTGGGGTTTTTTGTCTCTAACGTGAATCTGCCATATCTAACCACTGCTTAGCTTCTTTAGTCCTTTGAGCTTCAATCTCCTAGTTCACTACCTGGTATACCACCAAACTACCCTTCAAAACACAGGTATTTCCTTTCAAAGGGAAAATAAATATACATCTCTTGGGTCCATTGCAGTAATGGATGTTTTAGTTTGCTTAAAGAATGAAATCACTGAGAAACTGAAGAGGATTAAGCTACATAGGGCTTTACTCCTCCACTCAAACCAAAATAACATCATCCTCAAGTACCTGGTACTGTCCTGCCAAAACCTCCAACACCCTGAGCTTGGCTAGACTTGAGCACACAAGCCAGATTTCCACAGCTACTCCAAAACAGTCTCCCAGAGGAACCGTTTGATCCAGTCATGGACATACAACTGGTTTGGCACAGGAATATAGTAGGTTTGCTCATGCCCTGAGAAAACCAGAGAATACAGAATAAACTTGTTCAAGTCACCCCAAGCTGCACTGCAGAGCTGGGTCCCCCAGAAGCAGAGGGTGTGGTACAGAGGGGCACCAGCCTCCCTCCTCCCATGCTTGCAGCTCTACATCCCAGGGCAACCACATGGCCACAGCCTGAAGCCTCTTAACACATCCCAGCAACAACCACCAAAGTCCAGTCTGCTCAGCCAGAGCCTGAAAACTCTTGTGCTGCTGCCCCAGGGGTTACCTTCACATCCTGGTCGCTGAGTGGGGCCATGAGCTGCTCCTCCAGGGCACGGAGAGACTCCCGGGCGAGCAGGACAAGGCGCTGCAGGATCTGGGGAGGGAAGAAGTCAGAGGGTAAAACTTGGCAGTCTTGCACGTAACGGGGACACCCCTCCCTCATGGGGCTGTAAGAGCTGGCTCCAGCACCAGCAGCAGGCAACTGGCCCAAGCCAGCAGCCACAGAAGACAAAGGGACAAAGCTCACCTGTGCTGAGGGGCGCTCCCGGGTCCACATGGAGCTCCCCTGGTCTTTGGGGGTGGCCAGGAACATGACAGGGAGGCGAGAGCGAGCTGCTACAAACTTGTTCTTGATCTCTGTGCACTCAGAATCTGGAGAGGGCAGGGAGATAGGTGAGATGCTCTGCCCCATCCACAGCTCTCTGACCTCCTCACCCCCATCACAGCCAGAAAAGGGCAGCACAACAGGATTTATCCTCTCCCACCCTCTGATCCCACAGTCCATGTGAAACCAGGGTTCCTTCACCGTGGGCTTGCACCTCACTCCCATTAAATGGACCTTTGCTCTAAACCCACTCACGTGAGCATGGCAGGTACTGAGAATGACACAAGCTGGAAACTCACATTATAAGCTGGTGACTTATAAGTCTGTATTATCCAAAGTGTTCTATCTTTTGTCTTTTATTCCCCCTCAAGTGGGGAAAAAATAGCTCTTTAGTTGTTCAAAATAAGTTGGAGGGCACTTTGGAAAATACCAGGTTTCAAAACCCAATTCTCTCCCAAACACCTTTACCATTTTCTATAAATCAGCTTTAAAAGCTGAGTGTAACTACCTCCCTCACCCATGACTTTGCAAAGCCAAGACAATTCCATGGTCTCTTGTGGCTCCAGCATGTATCCAAAAGACAATCAATAGGCAAAACACTAGAGGGCAGGAACAGAGGGCTTCAAAGACAACACCACATCCAACACCACCCACGCTTGTCACAGATTTCAACAAGACCAGAAGCAGCAGAGCACCATCACTGAGACCCACCTCTTCAGAGGCAGGCAGGGAAAAAAAGAAAACCACACAAGGCACAACCAAACCTGTCCTGCAGGCGAGTGAAACATGACAGGACAGGAGCATGGGAGTGGAAAATCTCCTTGCCCCTAGCACAGGCTATGATGTCTTCCTGTATCCAAGAGATCTGGAGAGAGGCACTGACCAAGGAATGCTCAATAATCTCATGTTGCAGCTCTCCTACCTGCTGCCCACTCACCTGTGAGGCCAGTGTTTAGGTTGACAATCAGAGGGTTGTTTTTCCAGTCAAAGGTTGCCAGAAGGTTAAGGAAGCGCAGGAACCCCACCTGTGGAGAGCTGCAAGAAGGACAAAACAGTTCAACATCACCATTTGCTCTCCTGGCAGCAAGAAGGGCTGCATTTGGGGGTGCCTTAGTGAAGGCCCAACCCACATGCATCCCAACAAAGGATATGTGTGATGGGAAAGCAAAGATCAGAATGAATTTGAAACATTTCCCCTTTTCCAAAACTCCAGGGAAAGTCTCTCCCCCCTTCTCCCTCATTCCTCAGAAAAAGAAACCAGCAAAATGTAAATCATAGCGCCCCCACCCAAGTTGCCTAATCTCCTGATGCTCTTCCCACCCAGACTACTGGGTCTGGAGCAAGGAAGAGGTGGAGAGAGGGTTGCTCCCATCTCTGCTGCAGGTCTGAACACCAGCCAAGTTCCCAGTGTGCCTCTTCCCCTGCAACACAACATGTGCACAAAACCAGATAGCTGGGAAGATGGGGATTCTGTTATTTTAGGAGACAGGAAAGCATGCGAGGCATCAAATTTATTCCTGCTACTTTGGGAAAGGAAACTGCACCCCAAGTGCAGGGCAGAGTAACCTTTTGACTCCACACAGAACAAAAACATTTCCTTTAACTTCATTTCACTTCCTCTGGGTCCCATAACATGTCTGCCAGGGGCCAGCAAGCAATTGGATCTCTGGGGTTATTTACCAACACACTGCTCCATTCATTTTTCAGGGTCCAACCCCTTGTCCTTCCCTTGGAAGTCTTCTCCATGAGGAAAGGAGACTGGAGCTACCACCATGACCATAACATCCTTCCTAGGGAACCCAGGAGCCCCAGCGTGCTGGTAGCCACAACACAGCCCTCACCCTGCTTATCCTGGCCACCACCCCCAGAACAAGGGGCCTCACCTGTCCTCCAGAAGGCACAAGGCACCCTGCAGTTGTACCACCAGCACCTAGAGGCCACAAGGACACTTGCCCCCAGCCTTACCTGCCTTCCCCCTTTCTCTGCAGTGCACAGAGTAGGGAAAGCCACAGCCCTACAGTGCTAAGCATCTCCATCTCTTCTGGCAATGCCCAAAAGGATTTGGGGCAGTATTTTGGCAGCACAGGGGCCTCATGCTCCCTTGCTGTGAACCCTCCCAACACCTCCCACCTGAGCAGCATCCCACCCTTCCCTCCATGCCAGGTAGTGACAGGCACTAAATCCCCATCAGGCCAGCCTGGGCTCCTCATCCTCACCTGGGTGGTGTGAATGGGGCTGGGTGGAGGAAAAGAAACGCCACAAGGAGGTCGACACACTCCTCAGAGATGCTGTCGCTCAGGAGCTGGGCACTGACCCAGCGCTTGGCCAGCCGGGAAGTGCTGCCGAAAACAGGGTGCTGCTGCTGGAGCCTGTGAGGAGGGAGACGTGACACTGCTCAGCCCACACACCCCAGGACCCACAACCTGCCTCACCACAAATGCCTTTTGGCATTTGGCAAGAAAGAAGAGAGAGGCAAAAATCTGCAAGGAACACTTACACAGCATCACAACCACAGAGACTTGCAGCAGGTGCTGAGATTTTGGAGGGAAGAAGGGAAAATGCTGCCTTTTGCTCCTCTCTAACCCTGCTGCATGTCAATATTTGTCTCCCCACACCACTAACCTCAGGGTGACAACTGGTGCCATCCACATCCACATTAATTCTTCCAAAGAGCCTCTCACAAGGTTGGCTGAAGGACCACTTCCCACAGGAAACTCCTCTACCCACCATCACGATCCAGGACCCAAGGGCACCTCCATGTTGGTTTCCAGCCACATCCCACATTCTGGCCCCTCAGGCACCTTTTGCCTCACCTACCCATGCAGTGAGCTGGTTAGATAGGGCAGATGCAACGTTTCCAGCTCCAGCTGCCGAGATTCTTCTGTGTCCTGGTACTTCAGCATCCCTTCTGGAGTGATCACTTCCTTCAAGATCAGGGGCTCCCGGTGGTAGGCTACTTGGAGACGGAAAACGTAGCCGTCCTGAGATGGGAGCACACGGCAAGGTCAGGCTTGATGGCAACGTAAGCAGCATGTTGTGAGTTATGCTGCCCCTCAGGAATACAACAGCAGCATCCTGACATCGGTACAGTCTCACCACACTCTTTCCTGGGCCCACCATCCAAATACTGGTTTTGTCCAGTGGGACCACTGCCACAGCCCCCCACCTCAGTAAGGTCAGGCCTGGAGAAGGTTGTGGGGACCCCCCCTACCTTGTACACGTCAGTGTGGGTGACTGCAGGCCTGCAAACCAGCTGGTGCTGCTGCTGGAGGAGCTCAGCCAGCCGCAGGTGGAAAGCGGCCTTGATGCGCTTGATGGCTCCTTTGTCCTGTGGCCACTGGCCACTGCCTTCCATGTGGCAGATGACTGGGGGCAAAGGAATAGCAGGAGGTCAGTGAATCCCACACAGAAACAAGGTGATGGATGCATGGAACTACAGGTTACAGCAGGAGGAGCCAGGGTTCTGCTCCTGCCTGCAGCACACCAACACAACAATAACAGAGCCAGCACTGCTGCTTGCCTCCACTTCCCTCCACCAGACCATCTCCCACTCACATCTCACCCCACTTACTCTTCAAAGGGGTTATGTAGGCCGGGCAGGGCTTCTCCTCCGAAGGATATAGCAAGTGCTTGCTTTTGTTATGGAAGGAATAAACTGGCTTCATTGGAATGGGAGGAAAGACCTGAAAGAGAACAGCCACCCAGGAACTGAGAACAGGGAACAGAAACCTTTTGGCAATGTGTATCCCCTCACCCAAGCCGCCCACACCAGCAAAGCCCTTCAGAACAGGGAGTTTGGTCAGGTCATGCATAACAGCCCAAAGGATGGAACAGCGAAGAAGAAGCACCATATTGCCCCAAGGGCTCTCAGGAGCCACAAAACCAGGGAGTGACTCATTCTCTCGGTCCTCCCTCACCCCAGCTCCCTGCAGACCCCCATGAGTGACCATGCCCCGGGACACTCACATCTGTGTACCGCAGAGCTGGGTGGACACCCTGCACAGCCGTCACCGTCAGCGGCAGCTCCTTCAGGTTCCAAAGCTTGCGGCTCAGGTCATCGTAGGAGCACACAACACTGACCATGGCCTCCTCACCTGTTCCCTGTGCCTGTGGACACAGAGAGAGCCTCTCCATTTACCTCCCCTGCTCCTGCACTCACCTCACCTCCCTCATGGGCTGGCATCACAATCTAGCTCCGAGGAGCCAGCACTGCCACCCCAGGGAGCAGCTTCAGGCAAGAGTGCTTAGCAAAATGGGGAGGTAAGAAAAAGAGCAAAGACAAGGGCAAGGCTGTGACTCCCTAGCAGCCACAGGTATCCCAGAGGCAAATAAAATTATTTCTTTTGCAAGACACTAAGGCAGCACCAAGAGCTGTGCTGCCAGCAACCACTATAGTAAAGGAGAAGCCAAGAACAATCTGGGAATAGAGATCACACATTGGCAAGGTGAGAGCCCTGCTACTGCCTCCCCAGCAGTTACCATGACGCCAACAGAGGCAACACTTCACAGAAAATTCCACTGACTACATCCTTAGCCAAGGGAGAACTCTGGCACATGGCAGAAGCAAAGACAAAACATTCAGAGCATCACAGGAACCCTGCAGAGGGCAGCGGAGAAGCACCAGAATTGGTGTTGTCCTTATGCCTCTACCTCCCCAAATAACAGCAGAGCAGTCTGAAGAGGGAGGACACATTGGTGACACCAAACCACCCAGCTCAGAGGCAGCTGAGAGTCACACAAGGAGCCAACCTGCCTGGGGTTTTCCAGCTTGGGCTCTCTGGCAGAGCAGCAGCACCCTCTGCGGGGTGTGCCACGAACGGCAAACCCCATCCTGCCTGTGGCTGCACCCTTTCTCTGCCTTCATCACATACATCCTTGCATTGCTGGCTCCCCAGGCTGCCTGCATACAAACAGCTGGAGGAGCAGATACCCCTATACCCACCACCCCACACTCATCAGCAACTTTCTCCCTTGTTCCTAAAAGGATTGGCAACAATGGAACTCCTAAGAACCCCTCAGGCTCCAGGAAAATGCATCCCCTGTCAGGCTGAGGTGTTATTAGCCCTGCTAACCCCAGACCAGCCTGAAGGGACACAGCACACAGATCTTCCTGCCTCACCACACAATAGGCTGTGAAAACCAGCATCTCATCCCAAATCTGACACCCAACTCTTCCCAGACTACAACTGGTCCTGGCACAGGAGTCTTTTCCATCAAATGTATGCCCCTTCAATCTGAAAAAATGGAAAGGAAACAATTTCTTCCTCTACCCAACAACAAGGTAAAGAGCTGGTTGTACTGATGCCTTCTTGGGACTACCTAAACACAGAGGCCAGACAAAATTAAGGAAATAAAAAGTATAAATTGTATTTATTGAAGGGCCTTCAGGTACATTTTTGGGCAGATGACGCCCCCCCAGGGTCTACACCCAAAAATGGATGATGGGTCATGGGTTCTTCATACTTTTATAAGTTTGGTTCATTTGCACATTTGGGATTAGTCTTCCAACCACAGCTTCAGGTAATGAAGTAATTTACCCCAAGTTTGCTCCCCCACAACTCACTTTGGTTTACATTTCTCAGGGCATGAGACAGTGAGGTTTCCTTGATTCCCAGGCCTAGAAAGGAACTGTTTTGCCTGACCAAAATGTGAAGACAGAAGCTAACACTCTGTATGGAGTTTAGAGTTGTACACTAAAAAATTGCAGGATTACAAACATATGAGAAAAATAAACACTAAATTCTAAGACATCAGTACAAAAAGACCTATGAAGTGTGTCAAAGTGCTCATGGCTCATCTCCAGACTTTAATTTCACAAGCTGGAAAGCAGAAGTTGTGAGGAATACTTCCCAGCCAATGCATTTCAAGATGCATCTTTTCTGTCTGAAAGCGGAGCTTCTTTGTTTCAGCTGCACATTCAGATGGAGCCCAATCTAGCACTTTGCAATATGCCAGGAAAGGTCCTTTTCCTGCGTTTGCCAGCTGGACCTAAGGGATGGCAGCACAGAACTGTCTAGCCCATGTCCTGAAGGATGCAGTACCTCAGAGGTGCAGCCAGAGGAGCACTCTGGGACAGTAATAGATCCTCAGGCACGTGGACAGAGAGACAACAGCAATAAAAACAGGACAGTGGAGTGCTTGCAGGGGAAAATGAGGTCTGGGGGATGCTAAAGCAATAGGATTCAGTAGCTATGCATTGGCTGCCATGAAAGACTTGGTAGATCCTTACCCTTACTACATTCTCTTGGGAACCACCCAGCTGCCCCAGTGCCATTCAAATTACCTCCCTACAGCCATTCCCTCACTGCTGTTCCTGGAGACAGCCCCAGCCCCACCAGGGAAGCAATCATACCTCTTTCCCAATCTTGATCACAGATTCCAGCAGGGCTCCTGTGTAGCAGATGGAGGACTCAGGAATGTCAGCATGGCTACGTCGGAGAAGACAACAGAGAATTAGAGCTACAACATGCCAGTCTATTGATCCTATTGACACTACATGGGTCAGGGATGAGCAATCCCTCTCTAAAGGAAGGTCCTGGTGAAAAGACCATTCCTCCCTGCCCGAGGAACCCACCCGAAGCGGACCAGTAACTCGTGCAGCTTCACAGGATGGAAAGCCAAAGCCACCAATGAGCAGCCTTCCCTCAGAAGACCCATCCTCAAGTCAGGACAAAGAGGCACAGACAAACCCTCCTTTCTGTGCAAGAGGGCCTCACTTTTGGCAGATGGTATAAACTGCTGCAGAGGCTTTCCAATGCCATAGGGAAGACACAATCTGGTACAAAACCGGTACAAGGTCCCAGAGGACTTCACCAAAATGTCCTGCAAGGTCCAGACAGTTTCTCCTCCAGCTCTGAAGAGTGTCCCAGTATCCCATCCACATGGAAGGGCAAGACTATGCTGCCTCCTTGCCCTTTGCATTACATCCAGCAGAGGCTATAGCACCAGGTGCCTGCCCTTCCCACCCGCTCTTGGGAAGCAGCTCACAATGTAAGGACAACTGAAATGACTCCCAGATCTCACAAATCTGAAACAACCCACAACAGCCCACAAAGCATGAAGTTGACAATGGGGTCACCAGGGACAGGACACATGACAGGAACAACACATGGAGCAACACATGGAGCAACCCACAGCTGCTGCTCAGTGCAACTTACAGCTTCAGCAGGTGCCTGATGATCTGTTCAGGAATGAGGCGCTTCTGGCAGACAGTGCTGGCCTCCCACACCACAGCCTCACAGATGCTGCCATCCTGGAACCGACGCAGCTCTGACTTCTCTCCCCAGAAGGTCCGGAACTCCAAAGCCTGTGGGGACACATTGACCAAGTCAGAGCACGGACAAAGGTCACTGCTGGGCCAGATAAAACCTTCCCAGATCACCAGCCAGCCTCCCAGCTGTCTTCAACCACAGCACAGCACCAGCTTTGCTCTTACTCAGCACAAGCAGGGCTCCCCTCACCTCGGGGTGATCAGCCTGAGGACCCTTCTCCAGTGTGCTGGAAGCAAACTCTGGGACAAACAGCAGACCAAACGTCAGGTGCCCAACATCCTTGTGTTTTGGGGGCTCAGCATCAATTGGCCACTGTGGAAAAATGAGAAACATGAAGCACAAGGTTTCTGGAGGTTTCTGGAGCAGCAGCTGCTGGGATATTGGGATGCCAGATGAATGTCCTGTTATGTTCTCCCAGGTGCCCAGACAAGCACAGACAGGGAAAGTCTCATCTATCAGGTCTACCCAATGGTAAGAAAAGTTGTCTTCAACCTGCCCCATTACTGGGCTAGGACTTGCACCCAGACCATGCAACACAGCTACATCCCACAGCCCAGTGCAGGGCCTTAGGCTCCATATTCCAAACAAAGGAGACACGCCTGTCTCCTTCCCCAGTAAGCAGGGATGGCCTCCCTGTGCTCTGTAGTGCCACAAGAGACAGTTGAGCCCCACAAGCTACAAAGGATGCAGTGTCATTGCCAAGCTGTGTTACCTCAGGGATCTGGGGCAGGGAGTGAGCCACAAGCTGTGCTCTTTGGGACAGACCACGTGCCAGCAGCGAGACAACGAAGGGCAGGGCTGCAGCCACGTAGTTCCCACCCCGATCCATCAACTCATTCAGCAGCTGCATCTTCTTGCAGGTACCCTGCAGCTTGGAGACATGCTTCAGGCTACAGAGAAAAAGAGAAGATGGTCACCTACCTCTGCCATCAAATCCCTTCTGAGAGAGGGTTATGCTAGAGGATGGATAAAATGGGGAACTGAGGGTCCTAACCCAGTATGGGTGCTACAAGAATGCCCTCTGGCATCTTAGGAGATGCTGGTCACTGTTTCCAAGGCTTAAACATTGCTCCCCTCCTCTGTGAGGCTATCTAGACAGTAAGAGTAGAACAGGCCAGTGCAAGAAGGCACCAGTGCCTATCTCAGAGCTTAGCAGAGCTACTTCCCACCAGGTAAGTTCAAATCTAACCCACACCAAAGCCAGAAGCAGCTCACTCCTCTTTGAGCAAGCTTCCCCAGCACTACCCCACCAGCACAGTGAGACTCACTGGAACACGTGGTCAAAGGTCCTGAGCATGGGCTTTGGGGTCATGAGCAGCACCTGAAAGCCATCCACCATCCGGTCATCCAAAATCTCCATAGAGTGTTTGGCTTCAAACTGAACCTGAGCAAGGACGGAAAGCAGTGTCAGAGCATGAATGCAAAGGCAGGAGGAAAGCAAATCCTTCCAGCAAGTGATCACTTGTGCTCTCCCATCAGCCCAGCCAGTTCCATGGTCAGCAGCACATCCTGATTCCTTAGTATGAAGCCAAGTTACAGCTCTCACTGCTGGCCAGACAGTCCCTTCTTGACATCATTGACATCAAGATAATTTTTTTTTTTTCTCCTTCAGAAGAGTTCTATCTGCTGAACAGCTGCTTGGCTTCACCCAAAGGTGCACACAAAGAGGGGAACAACTTTCCCACACCACTCAAGCAAGACTGGTATGGCAGCACTACATCTAAGTCTCTGAATTCACTTCCAAGCTTCAAACCCAGAGATGTTAAAAGCTTAGAAAGCCACAATGAATGCCCTCCCTTGTTCCTACATCCTCCTTGAATCTAACTATTCTGTGTCTGTCTGAACTCACTCCTAAGATAGCACCTCAAGAAGCCACCACAAGCTGCTCAGTACCTGGTGGTATTTGCTGGCAGTCATATCAGCACAGAGATTCACCAGTCCAGAGGGATCCACAAAGACCACTTCAAATGCCTGGTGGAAATCATCCAGGGTAGGCTGGAAGAGCAAACATGGTCCTTAGCGCTACAGAACATCACACCAAGACAATCCAAAACTGTTGCCATCTGCCATTCCTGCAACAGGCACATCCTGGCCCCCAGGAGCAGTGGCAGCACACACAGACACAGGCAGAAGACCCCTCAGAGGGCTGCTTACCAGGGAGGGATCAGCATCCTGGGCTAGACTGATCCCTGTCACGCTCAGGTCAGTTGCAGCTGTAGACACACAGGAAGGAACAAGTCACACCACCATCTACATCTCTCCCCCTGGTGACAGTGGCACAGTTATGTGTCAATACCACCAAGGTCTCACAACATCCACAGTGCTACAATACAATGCTAGCCTTCATCTTATGATGGGACTTACCCACCTCTCTGCAAACTGCACCATCCAGTCCTGCTCTATTGACTCATCTCCTCCTGTCCATCCCACCCACAGGGGCTCAGCACAAAAGTAAAGTCACAGTGACCTCTCTGCCTCTTCCCCCTCTGTGCTCAGGCTTTGTGCAGAAACAACAACCTTTCACTGCCCAGAGAGGTGCCTGGAGACTCACCCAGGAATTGCAGAGTGCTCCTCAACACCTGGTACCCACTCATCATCTTGACAATCTTGCGCTTCATCAGCAGGTAGGCAACAAGCATGGAGACCAAGAAGCCACTGAAGCACCCCAAGCCCTGTGAAAACAGAGGTACCACAACCCCATGGCAACCCTCAGGTTAGGATGGGGCCTCCATGAAACCCTCAAAACCCATGAAAAAGCTCAAAGCAAAGCCACAAGCTGCCACGCCATCCACCAGGACCAAAGCACCACCTTTCTGCCCTAGGAAATAGAGCAAGCCAAAGGCAGGTTAGCCAGGTAGCAGAGCCCACCTTGGCACAGGACATACCTTGCTGAGCTGCCGCTGGTTCAGCCATACTTTGAGGAGGGCCAGGCCATCTTTCATGCCTGGGAAGTCTGCAGCTGTGTTAGACAAGAAATGCAGGTGGGAGTGCATCACTGTGTCACAGAGGATGGAGTTGTTGTAGTGAGGGGTCGCGGGCTCGGTGGCTCCTGTGTGGGGAGATGACAGCATGTTGGACCCAACCACCAACTGCCTGCCCACAGAAAAGGGCTGCAGCGAACCCACCCGCAGGTACTGGGGGCATTCTCTGCCTGAAACAAACAGCCTCATGTTCCCCCAGCCCCAGGCCATACCTTCTTTGGGGGTGCTCTGCTCCATGAACCAGGCAGTCCGGACATTGTTCTTGCTGGGATAGAAGCGGCTGGGTTTGAAGAGACCCGAGTCAGGACAAGCATGGAGTCGGACAGTGACCATCTTCTCATCTTTGCCTGTAAGCACCCAAGGGGAGATGTACAGGAGGAACAGATGCCAGAGATTAAATTAGGAAAGAACAGAGCATTCCCAGCCTGGGCAAAGGCAAAAGCTCCTGCCCAGCAAAATTCCACAGCAGTGGAAATCATCTCAGAGCAGAGAGTTACCACATCCCAGAGCCAATGATGACTTTGAGGTCACACAATTCAAGCCCCAGTCCCATCTTCCTCCCCACTGCCCAGTCTGGCACCCCCACCTGCCCTGGCCTTGCTATGTCATGTCTGTGCCAGATCCCAACCCACTATCCCCTGAGGGCTGTGGGAACAAGCAGCACTTAGCAGCCCATGCATCCTACATCATCTCATCAGGGAAGAGACAGTCTGCAAACAGGTTCCTGGGGAAGACAGGAGGACAGCCAGGAACAGGACTGGGGAGAGCAGGGTGGAAAGGCAGTGCTGAATACAGGTGTGTTTTGTAGGGTTTACTTTTTAACTCCAGGAAGTACCCACAGGATGTGCTAGCCACTGAGACCAAGGCTAGAGAACCCAGCCAAGCTCCAGAGGTAGATTGGGAAGGGGAGAGACCCTGAGGACTAGACTCTGGGTGAAGAGAGGGAACAGCTGAGAAGCACACAAAATTTATCATCAATTGTGATGGTAGCCCCAGACTGATCCCTCTCCAAAGGGCTGTTAAATGGCATGAGACTACCACCACCCCCCTCCACCCAACACCAGTACCCAGTCACACCCCACACCAGAGCAAGACTCAAGCGTCACCTTGAGGCCTCAGGAGGAGGATGGGCTTCAGATGGTTGCTGTTCATGTAGGCAAACTTCACACTTCCAAAGAGCTTCTCCTTGGACAAATGCTGGGCGATGTGGGACAGGTACAGGGCTCTCTTCCGGTGGTAGCGTTGATTCAGGTTATCTTTGTCCTGAAAGATTTCCTGGGAAGAGAGGGACAGGACAATGCCACCTCACCTGTCCGCTGAGTTCAGTTCAGCCCAAGGCACTCCACCACCTACAGCACTCCCTGGTCCCAGAGGCTATCTCAGTCCCAAGGAGCTCCAAGCTGGACAGGAGCTTGCTGCTGGCTCACCAGGCTCCAGGACTGCAGGAGATGAGAGCAGTCATGCAAACAGGGTGTGCTTGATCTCAGGCTTTTCTTACAAGCAAGTCTGGGCAGCAAGGAGAGGTTACCAGCATTCAAACATCTCCCTCCCTGTAACACAGTCTTGGGAGCTGGGTTAGAAGTCCAATTGGGTAAAAAACCAGACAGCATGCATCTCCCTGGTAATCCAGTAATTCAGTCCAGTCAGAGAGAAGGAAGATCCTGATGAAGAACTAAGATCAAACAGCTGCAAGCTCTGATAGAGCAAGAGGCCAGACCACAGTCCCCAGCTGCTTGTGGGAGTCACCCTGCATATTCAGATACTGTCATCTCACTAACGACTGGAGTGGACAGGGCAGGGGTCATGGAGGGCAGGAGAGGACAGGGTTCTGGTAGGCCCCAAGCCATTTAGGAGGTGGTATGGCCAGACTCACCCGTGGCATGGTCACTGCAATGTCCACATTGATCTCTGGCCTAACACAGGTGCCCAGCAGGTAGCTGCCCACCACCTTCAGCTCAGCTGGGGGCACAAAGTGGAACCTTCCCTTGACATTGAATGGCACTTGCAGGAACGGGACCTTCACATCCTTGGAAAGCCAGGCCTGGTCAGTGAGCTGGAAACAGACAAGAGACACAAAACGCTCTAAGCATCAACAGCAGCAGGTCTGCAGGGACCAAGACTCCACTCCCCACACAGCTGCCCTCAGAGCTTAAAGACAGTGTCCCGCGTTCTTCCTCAAAGAAAAAGCAAAATATTATTTTTTCAGCCCCTAAAGGAGACAAGCCATGAGTAGCTCTGCTTGCAGAGCAACAGCAGAGCCCGCTCCGGCTCCATCCAGGACAGGGATTTTGCCACCTCCTCCATAACCCTGGAACATACTTCAGTTTCTGGAGTCTTTGGGATGGTGCTCAGCAGGCTGTTAATTTCATGAAGGAAGACATCAATCCTCTTCTTCTTCGTCTCCTTCAATGTCACCTCTTTCAAAAGCTCTTCAATCTGCAGAGGGAAGCAGGACCATCAAAGGCAGCTGTAACACTGGAATTGCTCCTGACTTTTACTTTGTTATCCAGCACCAACCATGAGCCTGGTGCAAAGGACAGCTGTTGAGCTAGGGAACACACCAAATCATCCATAAAACCTGCCTGGAGCTGGCAGTTTGATCAGTTCCTGACATTTTCTGTGAGCCCTGGACTACAATCACCTCCATGCCAACCAAGGTCAAGGCAAAAAACCCTGATGTAATTCACACAAGCACAGCCCTCAGGAAAGCTGTTTGTAGGACAGAGAATCAGCTGCAGGAAACCACACAGGTTCTCACCACAAATCGGGCCCTAGAGATGACACTGACACCAGCAAGGAGCAAGGAGATCAAAGCTGCTCCTCATAAAAATCATCAATGGTAGAACCACCTGAGGGATGGGATGCCATCCAGAGGGAGCCAGACAAGCTCAAGGAGTGGGGCTGATGAGTGTCATGAGGTTCAACTCAACAACACCATGTGCAAGGTGTTGAATCTGGCTTGGGGCATGAACAGACCCAGAGCAGCCCTGCACAGAAGGACCTGGGGGTGCTGGTGGGTGAGAGCTGGACATGCCCTGGCCATGGCACTCACAGCCCAGAGAGCCAAACGTGTCCTGGGCTGCATCCAGAGCCCCGTGGGCAGCAGGGGAGGGAGGGGATTCTGCCCCCCTGCTCTGCTCTGCTGAGACCCAGCTGGAGCATCCAGAGCTGGGGTCCCTGCACAGGAGGGACAGGGACCTGCTGGAGCCAGCAAAGAGGAGGCCACCAAGATGATCACAGTGGTGAAAGATTTCTCCTATGAAGCAGGCTAAAAGCACTGGGATTGTTCCCAAAAATAAAGAAGGCTCTGAGATTTACTGTGGCCTCCCGGCACCCAAAAGAACTACAAGAGGGCTGGAAAAGGACTTTTTATGAGCATATAGTGATAGGAAAAGGGGAAATGGCTTTGAACTTTAATAAAGTAGATTTAGATTAAAAACTGGGACAAAATTCTTCCCAGGGATGCGCTGCCAGGTGAGGCGCTGGCAAAGGCTGCCCAGAGAAGCCGGATTTCTCCAAGTGTTCAGAGCCAGGCTGGATGGAGCTCTGACCAACCTGGTCTAGTGGGAGGTGACCCGGCGGGAAAGGGGGGGTTGAAACTAGATGATCTTTAAAGGCCCCCAAACTGCTCTATGATTCCACTATCTAGTTACCAGCTGATCTTCACCGAAAGCAGCTCGGTAACCCAGGTCATCTCCGGGTCCCCCCCGGGCAGTGCGCGGCCCCCCGGCTCACCTGCAGGCGGAGCAGGCTGGAATGGAACAGATCCTCCGTCTCCTTCAGCTGGGTCAGCTCCTCGCTGGTCGGCGGCTTGTAGAGCTCGGCGCGGCTCAGCTTGGCTGGCTGCGGGGCTGCGGCTGTCGGGGTAACCCTCTTCCCCCGCCGCACCGCGGCCCCGGCGGGGGGCTCTGGGCCCTGCTCCGCCTCCTCCGCCGCTTCCGGAGAGCCCTGCGGGGAGAACACAGCACGGCATGGTATGGTTTGGTTTGGTTCAGTTCGGTTCGGCTCAGACCAGCCCCGGGTTTCCCCCGGCCCGGACCCGCCGCCTCTCACCGCCATGGCCGCCGCCCACGTGCTCCGCCGAAACCACGTGCTCCGTCGAAACCACGTAGGCGGCCGCGCGCCGCTTGCTATTGGCCACGAGAGAAGCGCGGTGTTTCCCATTGGTCGCACCGCCCCTGCCCGCCCCTGGGGGCGTGTCCACAGGGCCGTTCTACTTCCGCCGCAATGGCGGCGCCGCTGGCAAGCAGCGTGGGCCGCGCGCTTGCCGAAATCACCGCCTTTCGCCCCAAAACTGCGGCTCTCGGGGCGTTGTGACGGCCTTTCGCCTTCTGGCGGGCGAGCGCGGGGCCGCCTGCGCGCTGCAGATCCCAGTTGTGGTACTTGATGCTTAATCGGGGTGGATATCCCGGATATGGCCTGGATAAGACCCTGAGCCGGCCTGGCCGGCAGGAACAGACACCGGGAGCCAGGAAAACCCTTCTGGCCTGGAGGAGCGGGCACCGGGAGCCGTCATCCTCCTGGGCAGCTTCCACTGTTAGGGATTGGGAAGGATATCAGGAGCCAGTGGCGTCCTACGTGCAGATTACTGGAGTGGGAGGAATATCTCCTCTATATAAATTAGATAGGTACGCCTTTACAGAAGCAGCTTTGAACACCGGGTCCGGTCAGATTTGGGTTGTCAGGGTATTCAAAAGACCACGCCTTATGTATCCCTGAACAGAAAGACACAGATTGGGACACAGGTAATTTTAATTATTTTTCCAGTTCTTTGGATGGCTTTTGCATAACTGTAGTCAGTTAACTAAGTCACTTCTCTACACCCTACCATGAAAAACAGGGACACTGTGTCCCCAGTGGGACCATTCTCCAGAGAGACTGCTCTGGGATAGCACTCTCAGAGTCTTTCATCCCCACGCCAGGTCCAAATTCTCCCTGAATCCTGGCCACACTCAGTACCACTTTTTTCCTGCACTGTGAGAACAATACAAGCCGAATCTCTTCAGGAGCAAATGTGTAGGCATGTTGAGACAGAGAGTAGAAGATCAGGCATCCATCCTGAAGGTAAACATGGGAGTTCAGAGAGCTCAGTGAAGTAAGCCGGGCTGTGTCCCCCTCAGAGGGACCCCTAAGCCAGATCAGCTCGCTGCTCATAGATGGCTGGGGGAAAACAAGCAGCTTTAGGGTAAAAGCTAAGCTCTGCTGGAGGCAGGGGGTAGGAAACAAGCTGTGTTCAGAGGATGTGTGTAGCTGATACTCTCTGCCCTGAAGGTCTTTCCTATGTCAGACTTGCCTCAGAGCAGGGCAGGCCCTCACCCATCCCTCTGCCAGGGAAAGCAGAGTAATACCATGTCCTGCCCAGCTGCAGAGCTCATTTCCACACACTGCAGCATCTCTGCCTGGGACATCAAGATGCCAAGTTCATGCTCAAGGCATTGCTTCTATTCCCAAAGAAGACTGCCACCTAACCTGCTGCTTGGCTAGGGTGGCCACCAGCATCGTTGCCAGAGCCCTCAAGCCTCTCATCCTAAATATGAGGTATTTAATGACTTCTGTGCAGGGAAATCTGCTGGAAGTGAGATCTCAGCCTTGTGTCAACTCAGCTACAGGGACTGCTGCCACTGGGCTTTTGGTTCCTACTTTCCAAGGAGGGTGTCTGGAGACAGAACTGCTGTATTTGAGGAGCACCTCCCTCACATCAAGCAACTTGTGGCTGGGATGCAGGTGGTGGCTGTGGGTGACATGAGGCTTCTGGTCCCCACTAGTTCTTGGCCGTTCCTGCCTGGCTGCTGCATTACAGCCTCTCTGGATCCTAGCCACCAGCAACTTCCCCAACCCACTCCAGAGGATCCCAGGAAATAATTTTTGCTGATTATAGCTTCCAAATATTTTTTTTTCCTCCATCCCAGTGGCCTGGGTCAGATTCTTCAGGTTTAACCCTGAGCCTTCAGCTGGGTAGACACCCCCTTCATCCATCTGCATCCATGCACACACTCCCCTGCATTCCAAAGTTGCCTCCAGAATTGACTTCCACTTAGTGTGGATATTTAGCTCCTGTTCAGTTTTGCAAGTAATTCCTGAGTGCAGCCTCAGTGATTACACCAAGAATCAGGTCCTAACTTTGGATAACTTTGGGTAATCCTAACTCATCCTTCCTGTTACCAAAACATTCAGTTCCTTGGCTGGAGGAGCTCCTGTTCCTCCTCCTTTCTGACAGGACCAGGACATCCCAGCTTTACTCCACTCTCCCAGTGATTCACTGCGAGACACCTGCGGGTGCTGTGGCCATACCTGCAATGTCAGACTCCTCTTTTTTAAGGGTAGGGTAATTACAGCCCTATGCAGGATTTTTAGGAAGGCTGGGAAAACCAGTTTGGTCATCCCTGTCCCCAAGGACACATCCTCATAATTGTCTGTGAGCAACAGAGGAGGAGGGACTCGAACAGGTCCAGGGTGGGTTGCTGGAGTGTCCATTGTGCAAATCCCCCAGCATTCCCTATGCACTCCAGCTGTTCCTGGGATGGCATGTAATGCCCAATTGGTATGGAAAGATGAGTTCAGTGTCTATTCTGGGGGCACTGGCAGGAGTTTAGGGGACTGGGGGAAAAAGGACAGGTCAGCTCCTGGATGTGTCACCTCAGGGCAGCCCAGCCAGCTGCGTAGTGGGGAGCAGGACCACTAACGTTTGCCCCAGAACAGGTTCCTTAATAAAGCATTTCAGCACAGAGTGAGTCACTAATTACACGCAATCCTACAATGCTAATAGTAGTAATATTAATAAAAAAAAAATTTTACTGCATTCCATACCATGTGCCCGCCCTTACAGGCATCGTGCCCCTCCTCCTATCCTGCCTTGCCCAAAGAGCTGCTGCTGCGCTCTTGCTTCTTGTTATGCTTCATCCTTGCTGCCCAGAAACACCTGGGACATTGGAAGAATGTACTCTGTCCCTAGAAATTTGGGGCTTCCCAGCTCAGGTGAAGCCATTCCCAGGTGGGTTTTCAACAATGGTGAGCATCCCCAAACTCTGTGTACCAGCACCTCCTCAGCATGATGTTTTGGGAGCTCCAGCTTTCCTAACAGGCACAGACAGATAGCAATGTGGCATCAATGCACCCCTGGGAAAATCCCACTCTGCCACAGTTACAGAGGGACCACTGTGAGCATGTGGACCCACATCCTCAGTGCTGGGAGCAACACCCAAGGATCTCCAGCCGTCAGCGCACCACAGCGGTGACACCCTCCTGCACACAGCTCAAAGCACACGAGTGCAGCCCTGCACGCACACCTGTGTACACACAGCCCTGCTCCCTCAGCTCTGGCCTCAGGAATGCTGCCGGCATCACATGCAGCTGCCAGGACAGGGCTGCGGTCGATGCGGCTGCCGAGCAGGTTTAGCGGTCACATTGATCCCAACTTGTGCTGTGTCCATTTAACTCCAGCACCAGCTTGTTCCCTCTTGGGGTCTTCCCAAAAACACCACTGCTGTGGAAGTGCTTCACTCCCCTGGCAGGTGTGGAGAGCTAAACTTGCATCAAAAACCTTGGCACAACCCCGTAGCTTGGTATCACCTGCAGGTATCTGCAGGCAAAGACAGCTCTTGTTCAGAGTTCCCCCCTCCAAGACTTTTGCATCCATCCCCTAAGTCTCTTTGGCAACCCCATGGCCATGGCTGGGGTTTTCTTACCAAGTACCCCAAAACCTCCTCCCAGTGATAACACCTGGATGTGGCACTTCTCCCTGTCTGGCAGCTTCATCCAGATTTGATGGAGTTTCTTGCTTCTGCAGAGTCAGGGCTCTGTCCCACTTCAAAAAATCTGCATTTAATTGTAGGATTAAATAGTTCCTCCCTTTGGTTTCTGCAATATTTTGAAGTGTTTTAAATTCTCAAGTATTAACACATGACAGAGTCATTTGTAACTCCCAAAAATAACCTGGCACACAGGCTAATGACACACTCCCATAATGTTTGACTATCTATCCCAGGTATGGCCATATCATAGAAACATGTAGCCACTTATGGATGCTAAATATGAGCAAAACCAGGGAGCACGGTGCCTGTGGAAAAGCAGGCTGCATAACTTTCTCAGTCTTGCCTGAGAAAGTGGCCTGAGAAATCATGAGGAATTAAAACAATCCTCAGAGACAGAAGACAGCCTTGCAGGTGCTGTTTGTCAGTTTCTTGTTTTCGTGCAAGAGAAGGTCGAGGGGTGGTGTATCCCACTGACCAATGATGGTGATGTGTTAGTTCACTAACCAATAAGAGTTTTACCTTTCTGTACTTTTGTGTATCAGTCTATAAAAGAAGATCTGAGGTAATAAACCTTAGAAGCTCTCCTGTTCAACTCACAAGAGAGTCTGTGTCATTCTTCTCGCCGTTCCCAATAGAGCAGCAGCCACTGAGCAATCTTCACAGTGGCCAGAGGTGGGGGACTTCATCAGGGCAAAAGGGTAGGTTAAGGTAGATGTTTGTAGTTTTGACTTCAAAACATTGACATTTTAAACAAAACCTCATGGGCTTCACCTCAGGGTTCAAGCAGACACTCAGCACATTCCTGGCAGCCAAAAAAATAAGGTCCAAGGAGAGCTGGATTCCAGACACTGCTTTTGGGATGGGTTCAAGGAGATTCCCAGGTCCATCCTGGGGCTTAGGGACAACCCAGGCAAAACAATGGTGCATCGATTAAAATGAGCCTCAATCATCACTCTTTTCTTGGATTGTTGATTGTTAATGTTAAGCCTCACCTGGTTCATTAAGGCTCAGACATCTGCATTGAGACATAGAAATTACTTGGTATCCCCCCTCACCAGCAGAAGCAGCAGCTTCAGAGCTTTACAAGGGCAATGCTGAGGATCACAGGATGGTACAAGAGCCACTGCCCTCCTGGGTGGGTTAAATGCTGGGATGGTGTGTTAGACACCCTGTCTGATGGAAAAAAATAAAATAAAATAAAAATCAAAGCTTAATCAATCCACACATATGTCAGGCATAGAAAGGAAGAGACTGATTTGACTGTCCAAAGTCAGTCTCTGACAGTTTTAGCTCAAAACTAGTGATCTCAGTTATACAAAGAGAACTAATGGGAAGTTGATATGCTTTGAAATGTACCGTCAGTTTTGCTTCCTCTTAAATTACCAATTTGCCTTTTGCATAGATTGTTTTGTGTACCTTGTTTTTATTCTCTGGTCACTTTGTTTGCTTTATGCAACAGGCAAGAGAGCTAATTTACCTTCTTTCCTTTCTGTTGCCAGGTTGGCTTTATACGTAGCAACAAGGAGGAGAAAGCCTTTTCTTTTTTTCACTGGTAGTGAAAAACAACCTTCAGTCTCTAAAATCACATTGGAGACACTGAAGGAAAGGAAAAGCTCTGCCCCCTTTTTTCTTACACTGTCGTGTTTTATCAGTGATGAGTTGGTGTGCCTTGCCTGGCCCATGAAAGCACCCCTCAGCAATCTCCCTGCAGTAGAATAGCACTCTGTTTCCCAACCACAACAGAAAAAAAATTCAGTCTTCAGGGCAGCTTTTGAGACAAGAGGGAGTGGAGAGAGCCAGGAACATGCAAATGTGAGTTTTATTTATTTATGGCTTAAACCTCTGAGTGCCAAATCACCTAGCAATGTGAGTGCCCTCCCCGCCTTTCATCCAAATCCAACTTGCATATTGCTGAGCAAACATCAGCAGAGGTGATGGTGATGATGATGATGATGATGATGACAACTTGATTAATTGAAATCTTCAAGCACACCTGACTCAGATTTAACAGCTCTGGCCTTTTTTATTCTTTGGTCTGGCCCTCACATTCCAATGACTCTCCAAGACAGGACGTATCCTCATTCACCTGATGGGGAACAGAGGCAAGTAGAAGATTTTGCTGGAATGCAAATTCAGGTATCCATGAAGAGCATTCAGGATATTCCCTCACAGTTCTCCATTTTGCATTTGCTTCTCATAGAAACAGAGATTAAGCAACAGTGTTGACTGTCTCTGCCACATCCCTCCTAGTTTGTGATTTTCAGCTCACAAGGGCTGCACAGGTGCTCACAGATGCAGGTGTTTCAGAGTTGTTTTGTGGAATTTGGCATCTCAGCTAGGTGGAGGAGAAAGACCAATGTCTTCCACCACAGGGAGGAAGATAGTGAGGCACTCTGAACCATACTACTACCCACTCAAGGCTCCACCTAAGATGATGGTACCAAAAATCAGCTTCAAAGTTCTGCCACTCTAGGAGCACCTTGTAAAAGACTTATCCTGTGAGCACTGAATCCTTCTTTTGCACTGAGATGAGTCCCCAGTATGGTGTGCTTTTGGTCTGGAAGGGAGAAGCACCCTGGCTTTGGTCTGGGATCAACCCCTCTTTCCTGGCCCCTAAAGCCCCTGCAAGGCTGCTCTGTGAGCCAGAGCTGTCATCTGCTTAGGTCAGAGATATCTCCTTCCCCAGCAGTGAAAATACCATTGAGGTCTACATGAAGGTTCTTCCACCAAAATAAGAACCAAGCATCAGCTTTGGGGAATCTTGGCAAATCTTTGCTGACCTTTAGCCTTGTTTGACCTCAAAAACTAGGAGTTACCTGTCCTGCTTAGAAACCGGGGAGAGACATGCCCCAAGATGAGTCAGGGGAACAAAGGGTAAGGCCAGATGCTTCCTGGAGGTGCTGACGACTACATAGAGAGCTGAGGGCTTTGTGCTATCTGACATTCAGGTGAATCCAGAAGTCTCAAAACCCAGGGATGACAGGTATGCCTCCCAGCTGAATGTTCTCGCTCCTATACGTCATCCTGCCCTGCTGTGTGTTACCAAGCCGTGGGCAAAATACTTCCTTGCCTCATGGGAGATGAGCCTTTGTCCTGAAACAAGCTGGTTATTGTACCCAAGTTTTATGCTGGAGATGAATGACTCTGCTGTCATTTGGGGTTTCCTTTGCTTCCCCTCTACCTGGTGTGGGAGGAAACACAAAGAGACAGATCCCACAGGAAGCAGGTCTTGCAGTCTGTGTAAGGACAGCAGCAACATCCAGGGAAGAAAGTATGGGCATGGGACAATTTGAAGTCACCGAGCAGATGGCAATTTCCCTTTGGTTTGTCTTTACACAGTTTGTGGAGTTGTACCCAAGACTCATGGAGCTTTTAATGAAAGGAATGGAGAAAAAAGGAAAACATTTTTCAGATGATCATAGCTACAAGGTCTCGGTGTCCATGGGAGGAATAGCTGTGCAGAAGTCTTCTGCAACAAAAAATATACCACAGAAAAGGTTATAGTATAGCCTGCAAAGTTATGAGGGACAGAGTGTGACTGGATAGAAAAGGACCATTTATCATATTCTCCACTGTGAGGATGAGGGCATCAAAAAAGCTATCAGGTGGCAGGATCAAAACAAGCCCCAAGGAAATAATTCTGCACCCAAACAGGTCATTTGATTCGTCAGCTGCTTGGCACAGGATGTTGCAAATGCTTAAAATTTATCTGCCTTCAAAAATAACTAAACAAATTAATGGGAGAAAAATTTAGTGGCTATTATCTATAAGGACACTTCTGGCTCAGGGAGTCTGAGTCATAAAAAAATGTTGGAGGTTGAGGAAATATTCTGGGGAAGTATCACTTGTCCTTACACCCTTCCAAGGGTGGACTTGCAGGAAGAGAAGATAGGTCCTTGTGAGCTATTTCTAGATTCCAGAATAGAGAAGCACCCATCACTGAAGCTTGGCATTGGCCATGGCAAGCTTGCTATCTACCTGTGTGAGTGTGCCCCAAGATATCAATGCTGTGCTGTGCAAAGCACCTCCTGGAGGTTCGGGGGGGCAGGACATGTGGCCCCCAACAGGTGGGGACAGAAGATAGTGCCTATCAGGACCTGTGCAAGCAAGTCCCTGGAGATAAGGCAGTGTCTGGGGAATCACTTAGTGCAGTGCCTTGATAGAGCAGCAGCTGCTGGCTCTCAAGCCAAGAAACCAAGCCTGAAGGTCATGAGATAAAGTGAAGGCAGAGGGAAACCATGACCTGGCAGTAAGAATTTACAAATTTCCTTTTTCATTCCTGTGACATAGGAAAATGAGATAACAAGGGAAAATATTCAAAGCAATACATACCTCAGGCAGGCACAGCTCATCCCAGCTGACCCAGACCCAGCTGCAAGATCAGGCTCTGAAAGCTTGTGCAATATCTTTCACGGTCAAGATGCCCTGAGAGCTGTATAAGGAATATTCTGGCAGGAGCAGAATTCAATGTCATCCCTACAGTTAGGAGCACTTTTCAATCTTCTGGGCTGTTCTTACAGCTGTGTCTATAAAAGAGGTAAGTTCACTGCCCCCAAAACAGCCACAAGTCTTCAAGCCTTCAATTACCCCCATATTATTACTTTCCATTAGATGTCTGTACACAGTACCCTGTACACCAAGGGCTCTCCAAAGCACTGTCATCCCTCTCTCTCTCTCTCTCTGTGCAAAATACCTCTGGTGCAGCCAGAGTCAGTGCTGACAGAGAGCCTCAAAGTCTTGGGTCTCGCACAGCAACCACCTCCAATGTTAATAAAATATTACTCAAATGGCCCCATTGCCAAACCGATGACCACAAAACACAGGAAAGGATAGGATGCCATCCAGAGGGACTGGACAAGCTAGAGGAATGGGTCTATGGGAACAACATAAAGTTCAAGGCCAAGTGCTGGTGCTGCACCTGGGTGAGAGCAGCCCCCGGTATCAGCACAGGCTGGGCATGAACAGACCCAGAAGGACCTGGGGGTGCTGTGGGTGAGAGGCTGGACATGCCCTGGCCATGATTCTGCCCCTGTGCTCTGCTCTGCTGAGACCCAGCTGGAGCATCCAGAGCTGGGGTCCGTGGTATTAAAAAAAGTCTGTGGTATAAAAAAAGACCGCTGTGCTGGTTTAGAGTACAGTGGCTGGGGTAGAGTTAATTTTCTTCACAGTTGGTTTTCTTTACAGTTATGGGACTGTGTTTTGAGTTTGTGCTGAACACAGTGTTGATAACATAGACATGTTTTTATTATTGCTGAGCAGCAACAAAGAGCCAAAGCCTTTTCTGCTTCTCATATCACCCTGGCAAGAAGACTGGGGGTGCAGAGGAGGCTGGGAGTAGATACAATCAGGACAGGTGACCCCAGCTGACCAAAGGGATATTCCAGACCCAGATATGAAATCATGCTCAGTATATAAAGTATGGGGAAGAAGGAGGTAGGGAGACATTTGGAGTGATGTTGATTTGTGATGGAGTGTAATGGAACCCTGCTCCCCTGAAGATGGCAGAATACCTGCCTGCCCATGGGAAGCAGTGGATTAATTACTCATTTTGCTTTGCTTGAGTGTGTGGCTTTTGCTTTTCCTATTAAACTGTCATTAACTCAAGCCACAAGTTTTCTCACTTTTACTGTTCCAGTTCTCTGCCCAATCCCACCAGAGAGAGTGGCTGCCTGGGGCTTGGCTGCTGGTGGGGGTTAAACCACTGCAACCTGTCAGAGAGGAGGTGGATGCCCCATCCCTGGAAACATCAAGACCAGGCTGGACAAGCCTCTAAGCAACCTGCTCTAGTTGAAGGTTCCCTGCTCACTGCTGGGGATTGGAACCATACGGCCTTTAAAAGTCCCTCCCAGTCCAAGCCATTCTGATTCCATGATTCAGTAAGTGAGAATCCTCTTGTTGTCTCCTGCTTGACAAGGTTTTGGAAATACCTCCATGGATAGGAACAGCTAGAGCTTCACGAGCTCCAGAAAATTTCTGAGAGCCCCAGATAAAATATTAACTCAAATGGCTTTTATTATTTATTAATCATGCAAATATGAGGAGTAACAGCAGGGTAATTTGATTGTGCTCTGCTTTTTGACAGCTTTTGCAGATTTCCAAACAGCAAGCAGGTGTGAAAGAAGCATAAATGTATATATATTTCATCTATATGTGAAAGTCAGTATGTGGGTGACTGTAAACAAAAAGGAGGTTAGGACAGTAGAGTCAATGGGACAATATTTTCACATGTTTGAAAAAACTCCACAGAAAAATATCCTATGGCACTGAAAATTCCTCTGGAAGAGACAGTGTTATACTGTTATAGGACAAGCTAGGTACACTGTTTGCAAACCCTCCCTTCTAATTTCTTTTGCTCATAAGTGTTCAAGTAAATGAAAATATGTCTCACTCTAGGGAAAAACTCTGCATTTCTGAAGCTGAGCACGTGTTCTGATGCTTAGGAAAGGATCAGACTGTCCTGGCAGTGCTCACCACTGCTGCACTTAAAGAAAAAAAAAGGAGATAAATATATTAAAAATGGATGCTGAGGGAAAAACATGCTTAAGGTAGAGAAAGGCTTTTATCTAAGTTTTGTGGCCTTTGTGGAATGTTGGCTGCTTGTTTGCAGAGAGAAGAATTCACTCTCCTGAAAGTCCTTACTGATTCCTCTGGTTCCCATCTTGCAGTCCCTTCTCTGTACATTCTTCCTGAGGAGAGAGAGGTTTTCAGGCTTCCACCCTACAGGGGTTTTCTGCTTCTACCCCACTCTCATACCAAAGGGGCAGCATGAAGAAAGAAATAGCTAAAACTTGCCCTTTTTTGGTTCTTCTTGACCACTGGCAAGTATGTTCACAGTTTTTTTATCTTCCCCAGGGCAAAAGTAAAGAAAGGGTCTTTTGATTATCTTGGAGATATGGAGATGCAGACCCACAGGACCAGAATACAGCCAGCTCATCCAGCTCAAAGTCTCCCCTGCAGCACCAGTGAATGTGTCAAAGACAAGAAATAAATCATATTAATTTAAAGCATTGTGCAAATGAGGGTCTCGATGCAAAGGCTTAGCTTTTATTCTCCCTCCCTCCTACTCTTCTAGATCCTTGAAATGTCCACACATAGGAAAAACAAACCCATTTGATTTACAAACCACAGCTTATTGTTTGGGACAGCATCAGAGACTTCTTCTTTAAAATGGGAATTCTGCAGAATGGACTGGCCCTGATGTGCATCAAGACACAAACATGGCTGTTGGCTCTTTTTGCACCCTTCCTTCCCTTGAATTGACAGCTAAAGATTAGAAGAGGGGGAGAACCGATCCTATAGTCCAGGCAGAAGATCTGAGACATGCTAGATGGGACAAGGAAATGGGATGTTCCAAACCTACCATGGATTGAGGGCTTCAGGTTGGTGCAGCCAATGGGTTTCCTGCAGGATGGAGAAGCATGAGATTAATTAATGGAAATCTCACAGCAGGTAAACAAGTCTGGAGAAGATTTATCTGGCCCTGCAGACAGCTGTAGATGGGGATTGAGATGTTGGCACAACAAAGCATTAAGGGACAGCACCTGCAGGGCACAGCCATGCTCTGCCCTGTCTATGTGCCCAAGGGACCCTTTTGCAGGTCTGAACCCTTCAGCCTCAGTCTCAAAAACAAGTCAGGAATAGAACTGTGGTTGCCCTAAGGTCTGCAGCAGGACGCTGACAGAAATGAGGTAACCAGCAAGGGGTGGTTGGGAGGGGACAGGAATGCAGATCAGCTGATGGAGCCAAGAGGAAGACAAACCCCTGAACAGTCCCTGCAGGCTCCAATCCCTCTCTTCTCCAAGAGGGTGTGTGAGCACTGCTCTCCAACATGGACATTGCTGAAGGGTTTCAGTCTTGTGAGCTCAGTGGTTTTCTATTTGTTTTTTAAGACCCCATAGAAGTTTTTTCCAGATTTCCATGGGACAGCAAGCCCCAGGATGGAAATGACAGCATCACTCAGCACGCTCAGGCCTGGCAGGAAGGCTTCTCCAGACTTGTTCACCTGTCTGGGAAACTCGCATTAATTACCCTCCCAATGATTCAGGCTTCTGCAGGAAAGTTCAGCCTCCTCCTTTCTACATAGGAGTGCACAGAACAATTTTCAAGACTGGGGCAAGGGTGTTCCCAATTCTGCTTCACACCCACCACAGAGCAGTTTCCAGAGCTCACAACCTATCAATGCACACAGCAAAGTGAGACATTGTATGTGCCACACAAGCCCTGCAAGCAGTTTTTCAGAGGAACATCTCTGTGTTAAGGAAGCCGGAGGTGGAGATGCTAAGGGAGGATACCCTGCACCTTAACCCTCCTTAACCTTTTCACCCAAGAGATTCTGTCTGCTATTCAGCCACTCAAGCCTTCTGGGTATGCCTTGAGCTTGGTGCTTATGCTGCAGTTTGGTTTTCTTCCTCTGGATCTGTCCATATTTATTGTGGGAAGGGTCATGAAAAGGCCAAATTCAGCCTCAGCAAAGCAAGGTCCAATTCAACTTGCTTGACCCTCCCTGTTTCCTAATGGAAAGTCTTCCTGTGTTCAGTTTCCAAGGCCTTGGGCAGGACCTGAGCTGTGCATCTTTACGTCTTGCTGTACCTGCATTTTAGTTACTGGCAGAAGGTGAGAGCATTGCTGCTGGAGACCAGACCATGGAGACCACCCAAAAGTATGGCAATGAGTGAGGGCATTGCAAGCTCAGCAGATAGCAGCTGATATTGTACCATTCATCACAGAACACGGTGCTGGTGTCCCCAAGCCAGGAATGATGTGAGACCAGAGAGCTTCCTCCTCCCCCTCACTCACCTTCTGCAGCATGCTCTGTCCTCACCATGGCTTCTGCAGAAATACAAGGAGCTGCCTGCTCTGAGGGTAAAAGCAGGGTCTGGCGCATCCACCAGGCAGCTGCTCTGTGCATTCCAGCTCCTTCCTTCTGCTGCCAATGCCTGCCTAATAGAGATATCTCATTCCTGAGAATGGGGATAACTGTTAGTCCCTCCTTGATGGTCACCCACTCTCATGGGATGGACAGTCCCACAGAGCTGACCCTGCAGGCAAGGTGAAGGTGAAACGCCGGGGGTATTGGCTTAGTGTCTCTCCGGGAGCAGTCCCCATGCTACCTTGTCCCAGTGATGCTGGCATCCATGCCATCTCAGCCACACCAGACTGCTGGAGACAGGGATGTCTTATGCAGCAAGAAGAACCTAAAATTCCACCTCCCAACACAAGAACTATTCCTGGGAATGAACAATATGGATATCCCAGTCACAACCCCATCAATAAAGAATTATGTTCCACAGATTGCTGCTTTGGAGGGGGGTAACAGTCATTTCAGGGTTCAATAGAATCCTGATGGGTCCCTTCCAATTCAGCATTTTCTATGATTCTGTGAGATTGTGAATCTCTGAAGACCACTGCACATATCACCATCCCTGTGGGCAGCTGGAGGACTGTGCCCATAGCTGGCAGCTTGAAAAGGCTCATCAGATACTCTGCACACTGACCCCAGAATGGAAGGTGTAAGGTGACCTGAACAGCCAGGTACACAAACTCTTGGAAATTCAAGCCACTGCCTGGCAGGTATAAGGTCACAGTCATCACACTCCTCAGGCCCTAGAATCACAGCTGAAATAGAATTGAAATGCACTTATAATTTATTCAGCAGCTGAATGGGAGCAGTAGGCATTGTGACGGCACTCTTTTATCAAGCCCTTGTGATGGACTTCATCCATTTTAAAAGAGCAAACTGGAGTCGAAAGGGGAAAAAAAAAAAAAAGCCAACTTTATTCAAATTAAAACAAGCAGAAAAAAGGCTGAATCAAAATAGGGAAAAAGAAAAAAGCTCCACTAAAGATCTGTTTTTCTCGTTTTTCTTCTTTGCTCTGAATCTTCCAAACTTTACATTACTCTGCCGCTGGCTACTTGATGTAGGAGGCTCCTGTTAACCCAGATGCTGCTGACTGATGCTCAAAAGCATCTTTTCATCCCTGTGATGAGTTCTGCCTGAGAATCAGCTTGGCCATTTTCAGGTGAAAGAGAGCCAGAAGAAAAATTGCAGACAGACTTTTATTCTTAAAGATTAACATGTACTTCCCTTGAGTACTCTGATGCTCTGCTCTTCAGATAAAGGAACCTATATAGGTGTCAATGTGAAGGTGAGGGCAGTTGTGGGACTGGTTTTCGTGTTGGTTTTTGTTGGTTTTGTGGTTGTGGGGGCTTCTCACCACCACAGTGGTGGGTTATTTTGGGTTTTTTTGGCAGAAGGGGTTTTTTTTTTGGTTGGTTGGTTAGTTGGTTGGTTTGGTTTTTTTGGATGTGAGACTCACCCCATGCAGTAATACTCCATTGTTCACTTGGGCAGCCGACCAGAAAATCACACTTTGATTTTCCTCACTTAAAGCTCATTGAGTTTTATGGGAAAATCTTTCCTTGGCATCAGGGCATTTGTGTCAGGGCTGAGATACATCATGATGGTGCTTGTCAGTTGTCTGGTCTGGGACAGAGGTATCTAGTGTAAATAAAAGAAGTAACTCCAGATTCCTCTGTTACTGCCTGTCCAGGGCAGCAAAACCAGCCTGCAAACCCCAGGTGCTGTTTTCCCTCATCCCATGGGCAATGTGTGCTGCTGCTGTAGAAATTATGGGCTGCCAACACTTCTGTGGTCTCAGCTGTACATCTGCACCTAGCCAGGGCAATGGCACTCCAGGAAAGAGACAGAGGAAGCAATCCTGGCCCCACTCTCTGTCTTCCATACCCCTACAGTGGTCTTGCCAAGAAAAAACACTAAAATTTGAGCAGTGGGGAGGCCTATGAGCTCTCTAACAGGAAGAGGAATTGAGTCCAGAGCTGAACCACATTGACCTAGGAGCACACAAATTTCTGCTTT